AAAAAAATGCAACACAAGTTGAAATCAGAGGTCAAGATTTTATTAATATTTGCTGACAATGTCTTAATAATTATAATAAAGTTCAAGGTATGTATAACGTTTATTTAAAGTGATGGTAATTCATCAACACAGTTATACCTCTGAAATTGTTTGAGAACTCGACCTACAGAAGACCTGTTAACACCCAAACGTTTAGCAATTACTCTAATTTAAGCCTTCTAAGTTCTTTCAACTATTTTCCAACGAATATATTTGAAAAATCTTAGTAACAAATACTTATATATTATGCATTTATATAACACCAAGATAAATAGCTTATCGAATTTGACTTCGGCAAATTTCTAGAATCTATAAAAACAGCTGTAAATAAGCCGATAAAATTTATCAGCTTAAACATAGCCGAAAAATCATGCTCGGCCAGAATTACTAGTTACGGCAGGTACCCTTATGTCAAGCAAATTCCGGGCTAAAGATCACTAAAAATCATAAATTTCATAGATTGGATCCAATAAAATTACAGAATTTTGTATAACAAAACAAATGCAAAAAACATAAGAAAATGCAAAAAATTGTAAATAATGCAGAATTTTACTATGCTAACTAACTTCTGACTTTTAAATAAAAGTTTTTAGCATGAAATTTTAGTCATAAGAAGCATTTTTATATACTAAATATATAGGAAATTTTTGATATATTACGACCCAAAATTTTTAGGCCGAAAATGATCTTAAGCCCAAAATTTGCTTGACATAAGGATACATTACATTTTTTCAACACTGCTTTTCTTAGATAAGACATTTCCTGACATATACTGTAATTCTAACCAACACTAATTCTAAATCAGGCTAAATCGAGCCAATTTCATGTTGAAGAAATAATTATCAGGAAATGTCTTATTGAAAAAATGTGCTATATATGAAATAGCATGTTGGCATTGCAATGAAGAAATGAGTTGGTGAGTAAGCAGCTTTCAGAGAATTGAGTGACAACTATTGATTTATAGTTAAATTAATTTTTTATATTAAAAAATTAATTTATTATTTTGTTAGTTTTTTAATTTAGATTTATGGACCAAGTTTAACGAAAAACTATTGTATGAATTTGCAAATATATATATTTTCAATTATAAGTGATTTATTTAAAAAAATCAAATAAGTTGTTATAGCTAATACTGAAATTGGCAAATACTAATATCTCTATTTGAAAATATAAGTTCTGCTAAAATCAGCACATACTCTTTATTATAAATCCTAACTCTATTCAAAAATTTAAAATTTATATTAAAAATATATTTAATTTTACTATCAGCTATAAAATTTTCTTTATAAAATGTATAACAATTAGTACAATCTTGATATTAAGGTTATACAGTATCTAATAATTCTGCTTTATATAGAAAAAATGTGTCACAGGCTTTTTGTAAGTGGTGTATATTTGGTATCACAATCTCTTGACTTTACAGCTTCATTTGGCAGCTGTGGTAATAATTCTTTTAATTTATAATTATAACTTGTTGATTCTCTATTTAATATTGTTTCGATCCATAGTCCATCTTTACAAATAGTTTCTCTCAGGTAAATAACTAGTTGCAACCCATTTTCAATATTTTTATCTAAGTCATCAGTTCTTAAATTATAAAAAAGTATTTTATTCAAAAAATGAACTCTTCCCATCGATCACTGTGCCCAAATCTGGAGCTAAAGAATTTCTGCAAAAAAGTCATTACAGTACTAAGTTATCAACTAAAACAGCCTTAAAGAAAAAGATAGGGCAAGAAAAATCAACTATAGTTATATAGAACAGTTTTGCTTCTCAACAAGCAGAGCTCATTATATTTAGAAAAATTAAAACTTTTAGAAAAATTTTTAAATTTTTTTAGAATTCTGGGGAATTTGTGTTTACCCTGTTCTGCAGATCAATCATCACAGGAAAAAACAAACGTGTACAAATTAGGCAAACAACAAACAAAATAATATTGCTAGAAAATTAAGCAACAAAACAAACAGTTTTTGAAAAAACAAAACAAACAACTATGTGTTTATTATCACATGTTCACATATAACAAATTAAACTTTTATTCTAGAAACTTCAAGAGGAAAACCACACAACATACACTTAACACAAGTATAATATACTAAATAGTGAACATATGGATCTAATACTAATGAAAGATATTGTCCAAGCACAAGAAAATAAGAGACAAAAATTGTATACAAAACAAAGCAAATTCGTATTAAATATAGATCGTGCCGTAGCAAAGTATCTGGGATATAAAGATCCAAAATTTATAACAACAATTCGTAGTGTATTAGAAATCTATAAATGGACTTTATGCAAATTTGACCAAGATAAAAAATTATCGATTGAAGAACAGGTGCTTATTAGCAAAGTAGTTGAGGTTACAACAAGTATGAAGAAAGAAAAAACCAAAAAAAATTAGAAATGTTATGTACCTCGACAAAAATAGAGCTCGACATACAGAAAAAAGAAACAAACATTCGCGAAGAAAAATTAAAAAGAAAGTGTGAATATGCAGATGATGAGAAAGACCCAATCATTAGGAAAAAAAAGAATTAGTATTAACAAGACTAGCAGAAATGAACCTTAATGAAAGCAAAATTGAAATTCTTAAAAATGATAATACTGAGAGTGCAGAATCCAAAGCAACATTAGTATATACAGAATTTGGACAAGAAGATTATGCAATACAAGAAGTTAAAGAATGGATAGGCATAATTAAGAAAAAAGAAAAACCAAATAAAGAAAAAAACAAAGTAAAAAATAGTCTCATATTGAATAGAAGTAAAGATATTCACAAATCCATATAGGCATCTAGTAATAATGCAAAGCAGGAGTTGCTATCAAGGGAAGAATGTTTAGATCTCAGAAAAGAAATGTTAGACAAAGAGTTAATCTTAACTATTTGGGATTTACCTTTATCAGCAAGATTAGGAAATATAAGAAGATGCTTAAAATAGTATGGAGTTTTGGTGAATATCGAGTAGTGCACTACAACAGAGCAGAAAAAAGCTGCATACATTAGAGTTAGATGTACAAATGAGGAAAAAAGGCGTAGTCTTCAGAATGCATAGGCAATTCATTACGAAGCAGGAAAAACAGCAAGAGTAACAAGTGACAAATTCAATTTAAAAGAATTGGGACTCAGAAATGAATTCAAGCTCATATTAAGAGGAGTACCACATAATGCATATAATGCAACATTACTCCATCAACTCAATAAACTTAAAGCAAAAATGGTATACATACTAGACAATAGACATGGCAATCAGTGAGAAGCAGCTTTTGTATATTTTGCGTCGCTGTCAGATCTGCAAAAAGCAAAATCAATAACTCCATTTTACTACAATACTAGATTGAAATGAGATGAAAACTCTAGATTTGGAGAAAGTGGTCTCTACAAAAATAAAAAAAATTAGGAAAAAAAGGAGGAGAAAAATAGAAGTACAGATAACAGTGAATATCACATATGAAAGTATCAAGAAAATAGAAATCTGAGGCCCAAGAAAGCATAAACTCCAATAGAGTTCTCATAGAGAGAAAAAGAAATAACCTACATGCCAAAAGTAATGTTAGAAAGCTCTTTTCTAGTATAAATCACACAAATCTATCACAGATATTAGAACATGTATCAGGCTTGAACAGTTTGCCAATTATTGATAGAAAAGGTAAAAAATCTACAATACAAGAAGAACCTAGATTAGATGAAATCATAGCAGACTTGAAACAAAAGTTTAAAACAATAGAGCAAATAATTGCAATGGATCCTGAGAGGCGCCACAGGTGCAGCAACAAATTTGGGCAAGACAGAAATCCTCACTTCTGTTTTGAGAGAGTCCATATTACGTAAACAATATGAGGACTCAATAAGTAATAATAATTTCGACTGGCTTAGGGTAGGTTTCCATAACATCAATGGTCTAAAGACAAATAGGCAGAAATTAAGGAGTCTAGCGATTTTAGGGAAAGAAGAGAGTTTAGACATCATTGGAATTGCAGAAACTAATATAA